ATTCTAAACACTATAAAAGTCCCTTGGAATCATTTCTTTTTTTTCACTGAAAATAAAGTGGGTGTTTGAGGCTACAACTATTTTGGGGGGGAACATGTACCTGAGACTTTTTATTCCCTGTGCGCGCATGATTTATAACCTTAGCCTATTTCTAGAAAGGAGAGATTATTTGTCTTCTGAGAGTATGCCTGCAAGAGGGAGGCATCTAATGTAGAGGACCTTAGCTTACATTTGGATAAGACTTGCTGATTTAGGTGAAAGGTAGTGTGGACTGGACTTGCTGTACCTTCGTTTCCGAGCCTTGCCGAGTTTATTAGTGTCTGGACAGAGAGAACTGACCTCAATACAGATTCTTAATAAACACAATCCCTTGGACGAAAGCCTCCTGCACTAACCACTTTATCCTGGTGCTGTGAGTGGGCATTCTGTCCAAGCAGCTGCCAGTGTGGCTTAAGGGTCACATCTGTCTGTGCTGTGACACATGGTGTCAGTGGTCACTCGGAGTGACGGGCTGATCCTCACTGGAACAGAGCTGGGGCCGGACACGCCTTAGGGCAGGACTGCCAGTGAGTATCATGGATTGTAGCAGCTTCGACTCAATATAGCTATATCTAATTAAGCATGACTGCATAGTAGGCAATGTCACTTTCCCACCCAGCTGCAATTCACCACACACTCACTTGCCTTGCTGATTGCTTGTTGAAAACTCAGTTTGGTCGGACGAAAAAACAACTACTTAAGAAATGTTTGTTGGATGAATTAAGGGTTTTAAAGATAAGTAATGCATCAGTCATTGCAAAGGGTTTTAAAAGAAAACACAAAGGTTTCATCTCATCCTCTCTTCAGACCAGATAACCGCTGACATTAAGAGCTCAGTTACACAAAAACCTTTAAATTCCCTCACACGCCATTCTCAGCGGCTGAGACATCCATTTCATTCATGGTGTGACCTGCCTCATGCTGCGCGGTGCTCCTGATGTGATCGTGTCTCTGTGCTGTCATTTCAGAGCCTTTTGTCGCCTCGTGCTGTGGTATGCTTGAAGTGATGTGACCTCTCTACTAACGCCGTGGTGTTTTATGTGAAACTTCTGTTTTTTTTTCTAACTCTGGCCATGCCCATGCGAGACTAATCATGACCAACCTTACCTGTCATTCCCCCCCCGACATCTTCTCCTCATACCATCTCCATTTTTAACCTCGCATGCCACGGAGCCTCCATCAGACTTGCTAACCCCACCGCCGTAGCACTCGCTGCAAAAGCAACAATTCCAGCGCTCTTGCCCGCGTCTCTTTCTCCTTCTTTTCTCTCCTCCTCACTTCACACTTGCTCTCTCTTTGCAAGACTGCGAATGCTTCGGCCACTCCAACCGATGCAGCTATATCGAGCTGCTAAACACCGTCATTTGCGTGAGCTGTAAGCACAACACTAGGGGCCAGCACTGCCAGCTATGCAAGCTGGGCTACTACCGCAATGCCTCAGCAGAACTGGACGATGAAAATGTGTGCATAGGTCAGTCCCCCATCCGGGCCCCTTCACCGCCACCACGCTTTCTCACTCTCTTCACCTCACCTCCTGTCTCTGACTCCTCATTAGAGAAATTGTCAGTTTCATCCCCAACACGTCATCACTCATACACTCTCCTGTTTCCATGTCCAGTCATCTTCCTCTTTTGCTTCTTCTGCTTTCACACAAGGTTGTTGCTCATAAATGTCCTTGTTAGCCTGGGTGTTAGCAGGTGATGCTTAAGGGAGTCTTTAGCATCATATTAAAATTAGCATTTTACCATTTATTAAATATACCTTTATTTTTACCTACTAGCTCTTGTATATTGTGTTTTATTGTAATCTCTTGCTGCTAGCTAGGTTTTATTTGAAAGGCGTATATTGAAGCCAAAATGATCCTATTTTCAAGGTTTAGCATGTGGGCGAGGTGAGAAAACTATAATTTGAGGAATAAATGTCCTCCTGAATAGCTGCATGGTGATTAGAAATGGGTTAGTGTGAAATGGTCACAACAGCTACATCTGAAACGTTAGCAGGTTTGTGCCTTGTCACAATTTTCTGTACAAATTCTGTCATTAAGGAGAAACAGTTCAATAGTTTAGGATACAGCTGAGTTAGATAAGAAAACTGAGAGCACTGTTATGTCTTTATGTTTATTATTAAGGTACAGACAGCCGCATGTTGCCTTAGCTTAGGACATTATAGATTAAGGATAACATTTAGTCTTGCTTTGTCCAAAGGTAACCTTTGCAAAAGTGTTGAGTTTTTTCATTTTTTAATATTTTGCTTCCCAGGAGTCAGATTTTCTTATGTTTAAAGTGGTTTTGAGCAATAGTGAGCAAAACACAGGAGTGTTTTTTGGTTAAGCCTCTTAACACATATGAATCATTCAAGCATAAAAAGGCACCTAACCTACGGGATGAATCACTGTTGTGTCCAAAATTACAGACAAATGGGAAAGAACCAAATTTAAATTGTGTTTTTAGGCACTTTCTTAGTAGAAGCCAGGTGTGGAATCTACAAAAAAATTAAATAAAATGCCAAGGACAACATAATTTAACAGATATCAAATAGTATTTTTGCACCAACAAGTAGATTCTCAAAGAGCTATTAGCCAAAAGTTTGGCATGTCTGTGCATCATGTGTACCCTTATAAAATCTTAGGAGAGCAGATAAGTGGAGGACAAAATAAGAAGCGACAGAACTTACAAAAAAAAACTATTTGCAGCAGATGAACAGTACCTAAAGTCATGTCCTTAGGAAATAAGAATCAATTCCAGCAAACACCTGCAAGGACCTGAGAGATAGATTTGGCTCTTTAGTTGATCTGCTGATGACCAAACCCTCAACTTGTCTTAGTGGAAAAGTGGCTGTCAACAAGCCATTATCAAGCAAGGTAAATAATAAGGGGGGAGCTGAGGTTCTGCCAAATTATACAAGAACTGGACAGAAAATCAGTGGCTACAGGTTGGATAGTCTTGAATCCAAATTAAACATTTTGGACATCATCAATATGTATAAAGGAGGCCAGAAGTGTGGTACAAAATTCAATGTCTGCAGCCATCTGTAAACATGGTAGAAGTTCTGTCGTGGTTTGGAGCTGCATTTCAGCCAGCGGTGTTTGGGATCTTGAAAAAATTGCAGAAAAGTTCCAGCAGATTTTGATCCATCATGCAGCATCTGGAAAGAAAGAATTTCCAGCATGACAGTGATCCCAAACACACTGACAGCATGCCTGGATAGAAAAAGCACGCAGTGGGAGGCTATCAGTCATGGATTGGCCTCCCCAGAGCCCGGACGTCAACATTATTGAAGCAGCGTGGGATCATCTTGACAGAGAAGGAAATAGAAGTTAGCAAACTTCCAAAGAAGTTTGCTAGGAAGAGAACTATTGCTGAAGAGAGTTCAGGCTGTGTTGAAGAATAAAGATGATTATACCATATACTCATTCCCATGTATGATTACATGTTTGAATAATCACTGCACCTATTCTCCATTTTCCTTGCAAAATATTAAAAAAAATTGGAGGTGACTTATGACTTTCGCACAGTACTGTAGGCTACATAAAATTGGTGGTGGAACTTACAAGCAAATGTATTCAGTATTGTCAAAATACTCGCTGGTGAAGCCAATGCCACCTTTATGGTTATGTCTGAGGTAAAAGGCCATTTCCACTTGGTGTTCCTGTTATTTTGTTCATGGCTTTTACGCAGGCATTCATAAAATGCATTATCTACTTTGTTTATGTGTAAAAATTGCGTTTCCTACGGTTCCTAGGGCAGTATCTCGGTTCCCCGTTGAATTTTTTAGCTAGCACATGTAGTGTGAAGTCACAGCGCTCAGTGCCAGGTGCATTTGTGAGTCCTGAGGGGGGAGTCTGACAAGCAACAAGAGTTCTGAGAGAAATGTTGCAGCGAAGTCACACCGCCAGTCAGAGGTGCCACACAAGTGCATATGTCATATACATGAAATGGCCTCAGGAGCAGCAGCTGAAACCTGTCACAAGGCATTAAAAGTCGCCGAGGCGTTACTGCGTGCCAAACTCGCCGTCACCCTGCCTCTCTCTCGCTGACCCCCCACTTTGTCACTTGCCGTCACCTCTCTCCTCTTGCCTGACCCCTGGATGTCACTCGGGCGCAGCCGCGTGCAGCCAGCACAGACACAGAAGGTGCAACGTGATGGTCAGGGACTGTCAAAATAAGTGTCACATTGACTGCAGAGTGTTCCAGGTGCTCGGAAAAGTGGGAAGGTCAGTTGAGTGTGAGGCACTAGAGACTGGGCGTGTTGCTTTCATTATACGCTTTATGTTCAAATTGCAGCCAGAGCACCGCTGTCTTCTGTTTGTAATAGGCAATTAAAGATGAAGCCAAATTCTTATCAAAGGATAACAATAAGTCTACAGAGCCATTTAAAAAATTAGAGGGAATTAAAGAACATATTACTACAATGCCCATTTCAATGTACTCTCTCATTCCTCTGGAACATTCAGTCTTTATCTTTGTTTCATATCATTATCCATCTCTACCTTCTCATCACATTTCCTGTCTTCTCTTGCCATCTTTTGCTACCTCTACCTGTTTGAATGACTCCGATTTTGGAAGAGCATGTTCAGATAGGCTCACTTTGTCCATCTAAAAAGAAAAAAAATCAAAGCTACTGATAGTGCTTTGCATATCTGCTCATTGCACGCTGTGTTCTTTAAAACAGCCAAATTAATGCTATATTAATTACAAGTATGTTGTAATGAATAGAAAATGTTCATGTATCTAGAGCCAGCTTCATTCTCACTCATTCTGTCTCCATTACAGTTGAAATGGTAGCATTTTTCCCTGTATGAGTCTTTAAATCTATTCCCATTCTTTTACCAGTTATAATAATCGAGCACCTTCTTAAGCTAGAGCTTGAGGACCGCAGACCACGCTGTGAAAAGCCTAGACTTGTGCTGGGAAGTCAAAGCACTACCCTTTTTTTCTCCAGCCTGTGTGTGTATGTGTGTGTTTTGTTTTTCCAGAATGTAATTGTAATCCCTATGGCTCAGTCAATGATCGCTGTAATGGCACAGGATTTTGTATATGTAAGGAGGGCACTACAGGGCCTAAGTGTCAGGAGTGTCTGCCCGGCTATTTGTGGGACAATGGCTGCAAATGTAAGTAGAACCGTAACCCTCCCCGTGCAGCTCCTGACTGTTCTCCCCCTCAGCTGTGTCTTTCTCTTCTATTCTCTCTCTGATGTCTTTTCTCTCTGCGTGATTCCTGAAGCTTTGGCTGGAAGAAAAAGAAACAAAAAAAAAAAAAAACGCACCGCACACGTGCAAGACTGCCCAGCTGCCTTGACAAACACAGAGCTAACACATAACACCACCTAACCCGATATATACGAAGCCATTCCTTTCATAGCCTGTACCTGCATTTCACACTCGCTGTGGCTGCATTACCAGCGTCGAATCAGCAGGCGCCCTTTATGGCTCAAATAGAGAGAAAGCAGTGGAATGACGGGATGCATGCTGCTCGGTAACTCAGTTATTCAGGCGTGTCGCACACCAGCAACACAACAGCTGAGTCAATATTGACTGCTTGACAGGCTGCCTGTGATCTGTTTGAGTAGCCATCACCCCTTCACAGTCCACAACAGGACAATGTCATCCAACATCAACATTTTCTTTTAAAGGGGAATGCAGGTCATTTTGAGTTCCAGCCCATTTATTACTGCCTACAGTTTATATTTCCTCTGCTCATTTTGCAGTGCATGCCCTATGTATTTTTTTTTTTTCAAATGTCACCAATTTTTCATTGTTTCCTTCAAGTCAAATCTCAGTGACAAACCTGCGAGAGGTAGACAAAATAGAGTAAACACTTCAGGATGATGGATTTTAACTCTCTGACAAAGAACTTTAAAGACTGAAAACATCATTGCAAACACTGTTTATGCTCCAGGCACGCATTACTAGGCCTCTTTGGATCTATCTGACTAGTCGAGCGCTGGTTTAAAAAGGCTCGCGTCGATTTTTTTTTTGTCAGAACAGGTGATAATTGCTTCTAATTGGCGCTCACCCACCGCGACCCATCTTTGTATCAAGTTACCTCAGATTAATAGGCCTTTTCAACACGGCAGTGACATCTATTTGCCCGCCTCCTGCAGCTCAACATTAATCTCTGTCCCGACTAACAAAGGCGTCCTGAACGAGGCGCTTCAATAGAGTACGAGGACGTGATTTTGAGATTAAAGAGCGACTCCACACTTTTCCACACACATCTCCACATCTTACAGAAAAGCCAAAAAAAGGGAAAATTTTAATTTAAAGAATTAATTTTTGGTAGTGTAATTTATTCTAGCTTTCTTCATTAGTCAAGTTTGATCGCTAGATATTAATTCTGTGAATTACATTGCCACTGTTTGCTTCAGGTTTCAACATCATTCTTGTGTATCCGAAATATTTGGACTAGGATTGGCTGATGTCTGAGTTTTACTGACTGGAGAGAAAAATATCAGAAACTCTAGTTTCACTATTTTAGAAAGTTTAAGTGTCAATCTCTGAATATATATCATTCTAAAACATTAAAGTGCAGGAAAAAAAAACATTTATGACCTGAAGCTGATTCCTGTGCTTCTTCATGTGGATATTAAGTGATCATCAGCATAAGTAGAGTGTAATCTCGTGTTATCGATTAGTGAATTTATTGGGAAACACCCACTAAATAAACAGTGTAAACTTTGTGAAAAAACCAAAGAAGGCATATCATTGTGAACATGTTTAAAACACATGGCGTAATATTCACATCACAACAACCTCAGGGTGCTTCATACTGTAAAGTAAAGACCCTACAATAATGTTAGAGTAACTAAAGTAGCACAAATAAAAATTGATTCCATATAAGGCAAAGTATCACTTTTTTCACAACAGCAAACTCAACAGGCAAGGCAGGCAAAGTGCGCTCAGTATGGTCTGTTTTATCTGTGGTGCTGTGGACAGAGGTGAGATTGGTTAAAGTAAAGGGCTTCACCGAAAGAGCCACTTACAGCACTTGTCACGACTTTTCTGAGATGCACTAAGTGTCACGATTTCATTATGCGAACTGTATCAATACAACACGAGCAGATAGAAGTGTTTCCCATTGAGTGTATAGCGAATTAGTGACACCCCCGCTGCTTATACTGTGTTTGTTAGCGTCCAACTTAAGAACAAGAAGGCTTTAAAGTCTGCTGCATTGTGATTTAAATTCAGTGTAAAATGAGTCACTTAGTGAGTTCTTGACACAGAAAGACATTCATTAAAATGTGCTGTTTTTTGTGACTGTATTAATATATTCTGTGTGTACAGTGCAAAGACACTGTCAGCATGAAAAAATCTGCTTCAAACAAAAGGTGAGAGAGAGGCGTCCTAGCATGACCCGCAGCGTGAGGCGCACAACCCGAACCTAATGATGTACCGAGAACGCTGAGTGGTACAAAAGCAGGAAAAAGCATTTAACGTGAAAACGTTTAAAACGGCGAAAGAATGTTTTCGTAGAGAGGCGGCGCCAAGGTAAACAGATGGGAAGCCACACACAGCGGGAGTGAGCACGGAGCAGATCAGTTTGTATTTGCCAGATGAAGCAGTGATCAGAAAATCCACAAACATTACTGTTTGAAGTGTTTGTATGCTCTCAAAACTTCAAACTCTATATCCAAGAGGTCTGAGTAATACTTCACTTAAAAAGCTGCTAAAGTTAAAGATCCGCTCCAGACACGATGAAAGGTATAATACTGGGATTTGCATAGTAATGTCGGTCTGAAAAGAAGTTCAATTACATCTACACCTTCTCCCTGGTTAAAATAGTAACACAAAAAAATCCAGAATGTCTTAACATGTAAATATATCTTTGTCTTTAAGATTTAGCTCAGAGACATTCTCATCACATGAATTTGAAGACAGTCTCTGAAAAGGTCAAATATCTCAATGTTTTCAGCACAAACATACTTTGATTGCTTTAATATCTTTTGCCTACAAATAAAAGGCAAAGGGGTGCCTTCGTATTGAGGTTGTAATTTACTGCTTGTGCACTGACTTTTCTACATTGATCAAAGTATTGGTGGCATTTCAAAGAATGCAACATCCAAAGAAGGGGGATCTTTTAGCTGTAAATGTCATGGAGACTGTATTATTATGCTCATATCGAGAAAAAGAATAGCATAGTATACTATATGGATTTTTTTTCCCCTAGAGATAGATTTTTCTTCTTCTTCTTCTTCTTCTTCTTTGGGTTGGTTTTTTTTGTTTGTTTGTTTGTTTTTTTGGTGACTGAAAAAATTCCAGGCTCTGCTGCTCTGGCAGTAACACAAATGTGAAGTTTTTCACTGGAGTTTGATTCATCGCCCCAACAACAAATGAGCCACAAAAGCACCCACAGCAGTGCTTTCACTTCACAAAATGTCCTCTAAAGTAGGAAAGAAACCCCCAGAATAATGTCAGTCCAAAACCACTGAGTGATTCTATGGCTGAAATGGGAAAACTTTTTCGTCTCGACCTTCTTCTGCATCCCCGCTGCTGCTGCAGGAGTTCTGTGCGTTGACGAGACGCCGTCTGCATGCAGATCGGGGAAAAAATGCAATTAAAACTTAAATCTCTCGTCAAACACATCACTTTCCCAGACAGGCGCACCTAGTTCATCGGCCCCTTCTCTAAATATTATCACTCATATCAAAAGCAAACACAACAAATCTTGTCTTTTACAGCCTGTGCCGGCTCTGTTTATGTGCAGTAATGCAAAATGGTTAATGTGAGAAATTGAAATCAGATAAAGGTGCGGGACAAGATGTTCCTACTTCTGCTATGTTTTCAATCTTACAACACTGAACGTGATTGTTCTTGATTGTCATTATTTTTTTTATATCTTGATGATTTTATTGGTCTTTTTTCATTTTTTTCTTTTTTTTTTAAATCATCACTATCTATTTGTCTTTATAGTCCCTTCAGCTGATGAATCACTCTGCTTCCAGGGAATAGCCATGACCTAAAATTTCCTTTAGAATGAACTAAAATTTCCTTTGAACAGAAAGATTCTTAAAATTATTTTAATGGGATTATTCTGAAAGTAAGAAAAAAAACACTTAGCAACCACCAGTCGCTATGGAGAAATCTGTGGTTGCTGGAGGTTGGTGGTAGTTGCTGTAAAAACCTCATTCAGGCAGGCCTCCCCCACTGTACCCAGCTGGTTGCTAGGCAACAATATGTATTTGTCAGCCTGTTGGTGAGGGAGGTTGCTGGCCGTCGCAAATCAGTCACAAAGAGGTATACAGTGCTGCACTAAGAACTTCTATATGATCTTTTCAGTTTTGGTTTCGATTTTTCAATCAACAACAGTCGCCTCGAGGAGCTTTATATTGTAAGGTAGAATCTACAATAATGCATACAGAGGAAAAAAAACAACAATCCAATCAGTATGACCCCCTATGAGCAAGCACTTTGGCGAGAGTGGGAAGGAAAAACTCCCTTTTAACAGGAAGAAACCTCCAGAAGAACCAGGATCAGGGAGCAGACCATCTGCCGCGACCGGTTGGGGTGACAGAAGGAAGACAGGATAAAGACATGCTGTGGAAGAGAGACAGAGATTAATAATAAGTACAATTCAATGCAGAGAGGTCTATTAACACATGAGTGAGAAAGGTGACTGGGAACACACACTCCGGTCTGCAAACACTTGCCAGCTTCTTGCTAAGCAGTCTTTCTGCTGTCCTCCTTTCCATTCACCCCCAGCTGGCAGCTGCAGATGACTTCCCATCCTTGAGCCTGGGAATGTTTCCTTCCCGCTGTCACCTTGCTCATGGGAGATCATCTGATTTTGGGAGTTTTCTCTATATTGTGATAGGGTCTTTTCCTTACAATATAAAGCACCTTGAGGTAACTGCTGTTGTGATTTGAAGCTATAAAAATACAACTGAATTACACTGAATTGAAACAGTGAAATCAGAGACTATTTGTCTTAGTAAGTAAACGCTGTATATTTTCAAACATGTTGATTGGAGCAGGGATACACATTTTTCCAATGGGGGTCACTGACTAGTCTAAAGTCCAGTGTGACTGAAGCCTAACCTATCAACAACCAATCAAACTGCTGAAAATGTAGTTTTTACCTCAAATTTAGACAAATGAATCGAATCTCAAAAAATAATGTTCCAAGCTTTAATCAACAAGTTAGGAAGTGGTTGTCTGTAAGTATGGATTACTTTCCTGAACATAGACTAAATCCGACGTTGCTTATATCAAACAGCAAGTCTGCTTTGGCCTTAAAGATGTGCCTTTTTAAAGACGTGATCATATCTTATCAGACTAGGATAGTTTGAGATTGTTAGTCCAAAAAAGTGGACATTCACAACCGTGTCCAACGTTTTTTTTTTTTCAATTATTTTTCTAATCAATTTAGAGCACATTCTGAATAAAAGCCAGTCTGAATATTCTTAGAAATTCGCGTTATCATTCTATTGTGACAGCAAGGAAGGATAAGATAGACGAGACGAAAGGTTATTGTCTAATTAAAGGAGTCTCTCCTGTGTACTGATCATATCAAGGCCTCATGATTCTTTAATTAATACATTTGATCGCTCTTCCTTGTCATCTCGAGGAGACAATCTAATTACCAAGTTTAGCCGCTGCCTCATCACAAGAAGCAATCAAAGTGAACAAAGGCTTTCCATAGAAAGAGTCTGTTTTGCAGTCTCATATTGACTCATTACTGTAGTTTCTCCTGAGTGGTTGAGGTGGTCATGCAATTGATATGTCAGAGGAAAAAAAACAAAACAGGGGGAACAAAGATAGAGTTCAGATGTCTTATTTGGATGTAGTTGTGCATGGTAATTGGTGAGCTGTGGCCTGGAGCGAAACTTACTGAGCCAAACAGCAGCTCTCTTTTCTCCCACGAAACACAAATAGGATTCGCACAGTCAATGTTTCTTAACAAGGCTCCCATCAAAGCTCTATTTGGCTATTCCTGTGAGACAGCATGCATCCAATCCTGATTATTAGGAGAGAGGTCTTATATTTGTTTGTGATATTTATGTCCCATAGAGTTCATAGATTGCTCACCGCATTGTTTTCCACTCCTATAAAGGACTGAAATGGGCAGAAGTGGCCCCTGTGTTTATCAGTGTTTATTTGTCTCTGTTGGTTTATTAGTTTGTGCAGCGCAGCTTTGTTTGCCTCCAGCTTGCTTGACAGCCTGCCTCCGCTGGGAATAGAGTGGCCTCGGTGTCCCAGCTCTAAATATACACCAATTTTCACCTGACGTTCAGTTTGTCTAAAGTCAGTGGTGTTTGGGGAAAGCCTCGCAGGCTTTGAGGAAAGTGTGCCTTTCTGTGTTGTAACGTAGCTGATTTGATGGGGCTTGAATACGGTTTTGGTATTAAACAAATAGACGCGTCTTTTTAGATGCTGAAAAAATGTCCTGAAATCTGAAATTTGGTGTTGATTAAAGATTAGAGGCTGTAAAGTTAAACTGATGGGGAATATATGAAACGTTTCAGAGTCATTTAAGTAATAATGATGAAAAAAGACTGAAATTAATTTCGAGTGGCATTATACTCTTTAAGAGGTGATTAAAAGATAAAGCCAGTGTTCACCACCTTTTAATTACATGTGTATATATTCAGTAGAATTTATTAGTATAGCGCCTAAGATTAATCTCAGCCTCTGTGTACAGTACATCTTTACCACAGCTCGAAGCAACAACATTACACAACATTTTCGCTGTCTTACAAACGTGTTTTGTTCAAATTTTACATCACATTTAATTATTTTCCTATATAAAATAGTCAATTTCATTTAATACTTTAATTTAATTTTATATTTTTACTAGATTTAATTATTAGATTTGACATATAATCTATATTTCATACATTTTACAATCCAGAATGTGCCAAATGTTGAATCAATACTTGAACATGTTGGGAAATATGCTTATTTGATTTCTTGAGTTTATTAAGAGATCTAAGCCTCTGCACATTAAATAGATCAAAACCAGGCTGTGCCAGCTAATCTGAATGTGCTCAAAGGTTTCAAAGACAAAGAGCATTGCCCACCAGCACCCATGAAACTTACTTATTAAGGGGTGATGTCCCAACTTAAAATTATTATGCATTTCAGTTGTTATAGAAGCCATTTCCCTAAAACTACACGCTTTGGCAGTGTGGGGTCATGTAGTGTCAGGATTTGGTACATGCAAATGTAGATGGAGGCCACTGTGAGAGATGTTTAGTGTCTGAGTGGCCATAGAAGAAATCTGACTCTTTTGCTTGAGTCGACCCACAATTCATTAAGGGAAGTTATGTTGCCCTACTTCATTTAGTACGCAGTTAGCTTAAAAACTATTTGGTTGCACAGATTGTCAATAGTTTCTCTTATGCAAAGACTTGAGGGGATGTTGATAAGTTAGTGATTAATTCAGCAGTGTACTGATTGTAAATTCTGTTAAGTTGCTTTTAGACTTGTTTTTGTTGTCAAGAACAGTGATGAGTTTTAGCCATGCAGTAGCCACCAGCACAGCAGCTAGCATGGTTCTCAAAATGCTTAATACGGCAGCGTTCCCGTATAAAACAAGAACTTAAATGTGGGGTAGATATGTGAGGCTGTAAAGACCAAGCCCCTGTACATCATGAGGAATGCAGTTTCATATAGGTACACTGTTGTAGATCATGCTAGCTACATGGAAGATTAATGGTTTTAGGCTACCGAATCTAACCACATTTACTTTACTGTAATTTAATGGCAGCATGTGTTGGTGTATAGATTATGGGCAAATAACCACCCATGAAATTATAGACTACACAATTAGGACAGTATAACCCAATTTCCAGTCTTTGGGCTAAGCCTTGTCTCCATATTTACTGTACTGTAACTATCAAGACCATAAATAAGCATATTTTCAAATTTAAGATTTCATAGGCATCAAAAATGGACTAAAATGTGGCAACGCTTTACTTGAAGAACACTTTTTGTCAGTCTTTGATTCCATAATTGGCCATCTTTAAAGCTTCTGCTGTGGTGTTTGATAATGGGAGCTAATGAGAAGAAAATCTCCTTCATGCACCAGAACACACTTCAAGTAAAGTGTCACCCAAACACGTGTTTGTGTGTTAAATTCTCACACGTCTTTCCTGTCTTTACATTGCTTCCACCGCAGCCCGGGTGTGTGACAACGAACTCCTGCGCTGCCAAAACGGTGGGACGTGTATCAGCAACGTCCGCTGCAACTGTCCACCGGGCTATACGGGTTTGCTGTGTGAGAAGCGCCGCTGCGAGTCAGAGCTGGGAGGCTGTGGGGGCCCAGATTCAGGCCAGGCTCACCTGACACCTCCATCCACCTCCAGGCTGCTGCTGCTGCTGCTGCTAGGCTCGGCTCTGCTGAGAGAGGCCTCCTGCCGGCCCGCTGTGCTCTAAAGAGACCCATTACCTGGTGGGAGTCGCACACTTCCCACCTTCTCCACCTTAACCCAAGCTCATCCCCCTCCCCTTTCAGATAATCAACAACCATTTAAAAAAGAACAACCATGAGCTTTCTGGACTGTAATGTTCTGAGCTTCTCCGCCTCCAGACTCAATGGACACTCGCACTGACAATAAAGGGAATGTGCCAGTCAAATGAGTGCAGAAACTTTTCATTTAATTTCAAAGAATATATAGAAATAATTAAAAAGAAAAACTATACTTCTAAAAAAAAAATACAGATATTATTAGAAATATGAGTAACTGAGGGTTTGCCTAACAAAAGTAAAATGAGCAGAGAATGGTGAGTCCCACCCCGACCCCTACCCTACCTCTCTCCCTCCCCCCAAAAGCCATACCAGGTACAGTACACGAGCCCCCTTCGATTTTGAGAGGAGATAACTAAAGATGACAGACTCGTTCACTTCTTCTCATATTGCCACGGCAACAACAGCTGCGACCAATCAGCTCTCGCACAAGCCGACGGTGGCCGCCGACCCCTTTGGGATGCTTCTGTGCGTTGTTAATGTTGGCTGGACTGATGCCGAAGAAAAACAACAACAAAAAAACAACAAAAAAAAGCAAACTTGTCCCCGCTGAATGGCAAAGACTGGCCTCAGAAACAAACCCGTTACACTTCAGCGTGATAACAAACAGAAAGAGGTGAAAAACCCCAGGACGCATTCTTTGCTGTCAGTGCATTGTGGATAGAAGGAAATCTGTCCGGACTGCCACATTGTGACACAAAACCTCGCCCACGTTGATCCCTCTCTGTCTCTATCTTTCTGTCTCTCCTTCGAGCTCGGCCTCATCCTCTCGTTCACCCCCCTCCCTTCCCTCCAATCCTAGTTCCACCCCCAAACGCCGCCACTGACCTGTGCTTTCGTGAACGTTACTCTGTAAAACCCTTGTTGGTTGAAAGATTCTTTTGTCCAATGTTAGTGATGCACATGTAAGAATCCCCCGTCCCATCCCTCGTCCCCCTTTCCTCTCTTCCGAAAAGATACTCCAGTGAAGCTGTCTGATTCTTTTTCTATCTTAGAGCCACCACTCTCCCTACTGTCATGGTCAGGGGATAGTATTCACCTGAGCAGACGAGAAGTGCATAGAAAACCATCAGTGTATTTGCAAGTTCTTTTCTCGACAGATCAAACAAAACAACAAAAAAAAAACAACAAAAAAAGAGAGTCATGTAGTCCTTTTGTATCTTTGCCGAACTGTGATTGAAAAAAAGGCAACCTGTATCTATTTAAGTCATTCAAATGCAGAAGCAGTTGGGTTGTTTTTTCTCTCTCTTTCTCTTTTATTTTCACTTCCTTTTTCACCTTTTTTTGTTTATTACTTTTCGTTGTGCAGTTGATTTTCCTTTGTATTGGCAACGTGCTGGCATCAAAGAATATCAGTTTACATATACAGTATTAATAAAGTGTAATAAAATCCCACCAAAGGACATTATAAATGTTTTGTTCTTGCTTTAACACTTGAGAATTTAAATGAATAAAAGGTTAAAAAATTAAGCCCGTGTTGATCTTTTGTTCATGCTAAGAAAGAAAAGATGCGATCGCTGTTTTTTTCCACATCATAAGAGCATCGCTGCAGAAATCATCCATTCCAATTTAGTAGCTGTTTGGAAATTTAAATAATGACAATTAACCAAATTGTAGAAATATCGGCAAACAAATGCTGTGGACTATATTGTCAAATAACTTGAGAAAATGAAAAAGAACAAGAAAATACTGGCTTAAGTCATTAAGTGTGAGTGACAACAATTTTAGCTTTAATGACTTTATCAAAGTGACAAATGGAATATGCAAGTTTTCTTATTTTTTCGCTATAAATGATGTCTGTATATATTAAAAAGAAGGTCTTTAGAAAACACAATTTCTATTATAGCTGGAAAAATCATACTGAGACTACATTACCATTTCAATAAAATGCAGTAAAGTCATTTCAGTCCAGACTGCAAGAAAGCACAGCCTGCATAGAATAACTGTATAATAATCTGCACAGAGACATGTTTGTGTGGATGTGTACATATAGCATGCATAGTAATATTGTGTAGTTCTGCTTTTTCACAAAAGCAGCTGTTCGATTAGAACCTATTCATACACAAATGCCTTATAATCCAAAAAGATATCATGACAATAGATCATGCCTTTCACTTAAAGCTTTCATGTACTTTATAATGGCTGCTTTTATAATCCATGCATTCACAGTCTCGCACTGATCTGCCTTTTTGTAATATACAAATAAAGTCAAACTTAACCACTAGAAATATGTGTTTATGATGTCCACGAATGCATTCCCATCTTAATTAGAACTGCACACGCAGTATAAAGGGGCACGCAGCTTCTGTTACTTCTTAAAATTGCTGACACTTCAAATAAATTAATACGCGATACGTGAAGCGAAAGCCCCAAAGAGGCAAACCTGACAAAATGATAGCATAAAAGTCTGTGTATCAGCTTTTGCGATATTTCCGTGCTATTTATCTTGAATTCAATCTGGTAAAGATTTGTTTCAGTGGGCATGCATTGTCGGAGGCACCAAATTAAATATTTACAACTATCGATGTGTCCCGGAGAGCCTGTGTTCAAAGTTTATATAGTGGGTCTTGTCAGACACTCGACAGTTCATCCATAACCTAAAATATTCAAGCCATTGCTCCAGCTCTTTCTTCTTTTTTTTTTTTGCTTTCCTTTTTTTTTCCAAGTTTAACTCAAAGGGAGGAAAAGAACTTAGGGCCACTGATTGTTCTGCTAATGCATCAATAACAAAAACAACAGATACTTGCTTCCTGGCAAGTTGGCTCGTATATGCCCGATTAATTGATTCCGATTTTGCTCACAGCCACCAACTCACATCCAAATCCCAAGAATAAATTCCATTCAGAACCTTTTATTCTGTGAAATGTGGTTTTATCTAGTGAAATGAAAAAGTGAAGCCTTTTATGCCTTTTTTAACTTTTACGTTCGGGTGCTGGGATTTCTTTGTGAAAATATAATAAAAAAGACACTATTTAAGCTGTGATATTTTACTTTTCCAAAGCATGAATTTTTAAAAACACCGAGCTCCTTCCAGACACAGACAAATCTAGCTCAGTTTAACACATTAGAGACAATGACGCTACCATAAAATACGCTATAGATGGCACAATATGTGACAATGAGGAAAACCATTTTAGGGAAATCTGAAAAACTGAAATCAGGCCATATGGACAATTAAAACTAATACAACTTTCCTAAAACACTTTTGTGACTCCAGGGATGCCCTGATGAATTCAGTCAAAGTCACTTGTTTGTCAAGGTCTCCTACAGCGGCCCTAATTTTAACCATGTGTTCAGCCCAGGTGTCAATGCACCATGCTGCGTGGAGAATTAAAATAGAGTTGATGTCGTTTGGGGAGAGGACTTCATCCTAGATATCTCACCTCCAGCAGCTGTTGCCTGACCCAACCATGAAGCATCGCTGAAATACCTCGAAGCGAGCCATCTACCGCCACTGGATTATCTCCCCCTGTAACGTGCTTTGTGGAAACGACTGGTAAAAAGTGTTTAAAGGGGCCACGGGTGTGTTATTTTTTTTTATTTCTGCCCTGTAGCAAAAACAGCGTGGAATTTATCTATGGGGAATCTGCGACTCAGCAAAGGCATTTCAGCTGCAACGGCAATGGATGTCTTTGAAAGTGCTGTAATTAGGTAGACTTCTCCTGTCATATAACATCCGCTGGTGTCACTCACAGGCCACCGACGCTCAGGGGGGACGAGCCTTTTTGTCACATTTTCGAAGATAAAAAGGTGAGTGTCAAATCAAAACTTCAAGGACTTTGCAAGGTGTCTCGGTGCAACAAGGCAGACTCAAAGAAATCAGGAAGCTGGCGGCATCACTCTCTGAGATGGACTGTATTTGGTGATGTCATGTACCTACAGACAATTAAGATTTTATGGATGGTTAATTTTCTCAGGAAACGTTTCTCAAGGCAAAGAAATCAGATATTCTTCAGTGTCTTAGTCTCTGATCTCAACCCAGTGAAGTAAAACCAAATGCAGAGAGAGCCCCACACAAGCAGCACCTGAAGGTGGAAGTAAAGCCCAGGCCGAGCATCTCAATAGCTAACTAACAAAATATTTTAATGTATTAAAAACCATTTATATATATATTTAAAATTACAGAAAGTGTGCCCAAGTACCTTTGAACCTTTGAAAAAATTGTATTTTCAGAAAACTTTAACTCTGACTTCTGGCCTTGCAGTCAATGTCGCAGACTTTTAAACTAATCTGAGATTTTTAGTAGATGCACCTATGGTATCAACTTGAAAATCCTAGGTGATTTCATCCTCAAGTTATTGCATTCACAAGATTTTCAGAAAACTTGACTTCTGACCTCTGACCTTGACCTTGAGGTGTAAATCACAAAGCTTCAAACTCATCCGAGAGTTTTAGTAAACACCACACCGTTGCATTAATTACATCATAATATATGGGCAGTAACGCGTTACTGCCCATATATTACAACATAGGATTTGATTTTCAAACTGATATATATTATGAACGCGTTACTTGTAATGCGTTACTTGTAATGCGTTACTTGTAATGCGTTACTTGTAATGCGTTACTGTAATACGATTACTTTTTTCAAGTAACGAGTAAAGTAAAGGATTACTATTGCAAAAATTCCACTGACCGCTGCGGCACACCTGCACCAGGGTAAAACTCCGCCTACCATACTCCTGCTTTACAGGTGAAAATAGAGCAGAAGGCCGCTAGTCTTTGACTTTATTTATTTTCTGCTGTGTTTTACTTGCATCTATTTGAAAGACTGAGTGTAAACACA